CCACAGGGAATCAATCAATCATCCCACAGGAAATCAATCAATCAATCAATCAATCAATCATCCCACAGGAAATCAATCAATCAATCAATCAATCATCCCACAGGAAATCAATCAATCCATCCATCAATCAATCATCCCACAGGAAACCAACCAATCAATCATCCCACGGGGAAATAAATCCCACTGGGAATCATCCCACACGGAAATCATTCCTCATGGAAAATCAATCCCACCGGGAAAATCCCAGGGAGACGGGAATGGTCCCCCTGGATCCAGGGCTGTGTCCGGCCAGGGGGGATGGAGCCGATCCCAAGGGGGGATTTGGGAAAGACCCAGGGAAGGATGGAGCCGATCCCAAAGCGAGATTTCGGAAGGATGGAGCGGATCCCAAAGTGGGATTTGGGAAGGATGGAGCTGATCCCAAAGCAGGATTTGGGAAAGATCCAGGGAAGGACAGAGCTGATCCCAAGGGGGGATTTGGGAAGGACAGAGCTGATCCCAAGGGGGGATTTCGGAAGGACAGAGCTGATCCCAAAGCAGGATTTGGGAAGGATTTCAGGGAAGGATGGAGCGGATCCCAAAGGGGGATTTTGGAAGGATTTCAGGGAAGGATGGAGCGGATCCCAAGGGGGGATTTGGGAAGGACAGAGCTGATCCCAAAGCAGGATTTGGGAAAGATCCAGGGAAGGACAGAGCTGATCCCAAGGTGAGATTTGGGAAGGACAGAGCGGATCCCAAAGGGGGATTTGGGAAAGATCCAGGGAAGGATGGAGCCGATCCCAAAGCGAGATTTCGGAAGGATGGAGCGGATCCCAAAGGGGGATTTGGGAAGGACAGAGCTGATCCCAAAGCAGGATTTGGGAAGGATCCAGGGAAGGATGGAGCAGATCCCAAAGCGAGATTTCGGAAGGACGGAGCCCATCCCAAAGCAGGATTTGGGAAGGATTTCAGGGAAAGATGGAGCCAATCCCAAGAGGGGACTCGGGAAGGACAGAACCCATCCCAAAGCGGAATTTTGGGATTTTTCAGGACCCACCTGGATGACGAAGGGCTCCGGTTGGCTCTGCAGCTCCTCATCCTCGCACACCCTCACCGGCCCTCCCTGGGCTCCGGTTGGCTCTGCAGCTCCTCATCCTCGCACACCCTCACCGGCCCTCCCTTGGCGACGCTGCCGCCCACAAACACCTGCAGGACAACCCCCGCCTTGGCCGATCCCAGGGAAAAAAAACCCCAAAACCATGGAAAAACCGACGGAATTCCGGCGGGAATCCTCACCTGCCCCACCAGTCTGGGATTTTTGGGGTCGGAGATGTCGTACTGGCGCACGTCGCCGTGCAGCCAATTGCTGAAATACAGGAAGCGGTCGTCCAGGGAAATCAGGATATCCGTGATGAATCCTTCGGGAAGGAATCACAGAGAGAACCCAAATCCTTGGGTTGGAGACAGGGAGAGACCCCAGATACTTGGATTCAATGGAGAACCCCAAATCTTTGGATCCAAGGCAAGGAGAGACCCCAAATCCTTGGGTTGGAGACAGGGAGAGACCCCAAATCCTTGGATTCAATGGAGAACCCCAAATCTTTGGATTGAATGGAGAACCCCAAATCCTTGGATTGAATGGAGAACCCCAAATCCTTGGCTCCAAGGCAGGGAAAGACCCCAAATCCTTGGATTTAAAACAGGGAAAGACCCCAGATCCTCAGATCCGAGACAGGGAGAGACCCCAAATCCTTGGATTTAAGGCTGGGAGAGACCCAAATTCCTGGATCACAGAGAGAATCAAAATCCTTGGATTTAAAATGGGGAAAGACCCCAAATCCTTGGGTTGAAGGCAGGGAGAGACCCCAAATCCTTGGATTCAATGGAGAACCCCAAATCCTTGGATCCAAGGCAAGGAGAGACCCCAAATCCTTGGGTTGAAGGCAGGGAGGGACCCCAAATCCTTGGATTCAATGGAGAACCCCA